TAACACAAGGTCAACAGTACAATGAAATGCTTAGGATGAGAAGAACCAATTTTACTCGCTAAAAAATCAAAGAACAAGCAAACAAATACTAAAGCATGCAATAAGGGTACAAAAATAAAGTACCAAAAAGTGAACGTAGTGCTTCCTGCATGCAGTGTTTCCTCTCTAGGTCACTTGGCTTGGCAGGGCGCTCATGTCTTTGGGTTTTTTTGTCGACAATGTGGGGGGGGTGGAGACACTTCTGTGTTGCACGCTAATTTAGCGCTACGTTAGTGGAGCAGTTGTTGACCGATGCATGAGAAAAAAGGAGCGCTACATCTGTAGCATCTTAGCTAGCACATCTGTATTTGGCATCACTAGCTTAGTGTTACGTTAGTGCTGGCAGTTGTCGACTGGGGGCGGGGATTAGGATGCTTAAGTGTACTCTTTTCACACAAGGAGAGCTGTTGGTCAGGCTACTCTTAAATAGTTAATTGAATCAAGTGTTTACTTAAACATAGATGTTTAACAACCTGTTAAAATACACCAGAATGCAGGAAATGGCATCTACTTTAATTATAAATTTCTGGGGAGGATCCCTAGATCCCTAGACACCCCCGCCCCCCCCACCCCCACCCCACCACCACCAGTTACACATTATCTCCACACATTATAAATGCTTCTGATGCCAATGCAACTACATCATACTTGTGAAAATTTGTGAATATCCTTTGTAGTGATTTGTTTTTATTTATCTTGTTATTTTCAGAACATGATTTAGCTCTGGTCAGCATTACATTTCTCTGCTTTGTTTTCCTCAGCAACAAGGAACATCTCACTATAAACACATTCAGCTGTTTATCACCGCAGTGTAATGCAAAGCGGTGAAAACAGAAAATGAACACACCACTTCCCTGTTTGTTTCTAAGATAAGATAAGATAGAACTATTGATCCCGCAGGAAATTGTTCTGTGTGCGTTTTCAGTCATTGTATTGTGTGAATATAAAATACTCCATATCCTCAGCATAACGTCACAACTTCATGTGAAATACCTTGCATTCTTTGAAGAAATGCACACCGCCCATTGCCCTCATGCCAGAATTCTAGACTAAGATCGTCTTATGTTGAGAAGTTGTTGAGAAAGTTGCAGCCATTTTGGCCAAATCTTATAATAATAATAATAATAATAATAATAATGAATTTAATTTGTAATGCACTTTTCATTAACAAAAATCTCAAAGTGCTACAGAGTGCAACTAAAATCAATGATAAAATCAACTAAAATCAATGATAAAATCAACTAAAATCAGTGA